TGGGATTTGGATCGTATATTAACTGTGGCAACTACTTTAATACTATCAAATCAAGAAATTAATACTTTTATATTTAAAATTGCCGAATGATTGCATTAATCATTTAAAGTTCTAACTTTATTGATTTCAAACTAGGGTGTGTCATGAGTGATGTTATTGGTTTAATCGCACAAAATGAAACTGTATCAATAACAGCAAAAACAAAACAAAAAAAATTCAAAATTGTCAAACCGACCTTCTATCAATCCAGACTTTCCGCTGAATTATTCCAAAACCGCCCTAGCCATGTTGGCCATAAATTTGGTGAAGCAAGCACTTTATGGTGAAAAGAGCAATCCAAAATAATGTTCGAGCAGAAAGAAACTAGAGCTCAATGGTCTCTACATTCGACACGTACCTACCAATGTCCTTTGCATGGACATCTCAACAACAAACATACCTATTTTATAGCCTTGGACTATATTGGCCACTCTCTGTGTCTTGAAGTTAGAGAGTGATAAGGAAGAAAGAGGCTTGAAAAGAAAATAGAAAAGAATGAATAGTTTTTTTTTATATAGAGTACGGATAATAGGAAATATATGTGTCATTCTTGTTTTTTTATAAATTTTAATTCATCCAAAAGTAGGTGTGAAAGAGGGGGAAGAAAAGGGAAACCGATCCTCTCTTGAAGACATCTTTCTACTCTCTTTCCGGAACTAATTTGAGAGTTAATGTTAAGGCACGTCATCATTTGCCACATTTCCATGTCCCTCTTTCTCTCTCCTGAACCTCTTTCTCTTTCTAACTCTTATATGCAAAATCAAAATTTTCTCTTCCTTTTTTAATAACTTCCATACTTACCCATATTTCGCTGGCTGAATCCGCCGCCGGGTTCTTCTTGTGCTTCATACCGCTAGTTTAAGATGATATATTTATAAAATAATATATACACATATATAAAAGAAAAAAATGATTAATTCTGGAAACAAAAAAATAATAATAATAAATAATAAAATAAATTATAAATGGAGTCAGCAACAATTAATGTCTCCGACGAGATCAGGCAATGTTGATGAACTTCCTCATGTCTGCCAAAAAAAAAAAAACTTCCTCATGCCTCTAAAACGTGTCTCCTTGTTGTTAACAAGATTAACGGTGTTTTTGAATGAAGAAAGTCACTTGAAGTTGGGACTGGAAAATACTGAAGATGGTCTTCCTCATGCAGAGAGTGATCTAAGATCATCATCTTCCTTTTCATTATTTATTATTATTATTATTTTGTTTCCAGAATTAATCATTTTTTTTTTCTTTTATATATGTGTACATAATATTTTTATAAATTTATATCATCTTAAACTAGCGATGAAGAAGCACAAGAAGAAACCTAACGGCGGATTCCCCAAACGAATTTTGGGTACATATGTAAGTTATTAAAAAGGGAAGAGAAAATTTTGGTCTTCTATCTAAGATTTAGAGAGAGAAAGAGGTTGAGGAAAGAGAACGAGGGAGATGGAGATGGAGATGTGACAAATGACGTGTCTTAATGAATGACAAGTCTTTATATTAACCCTCAGATTAGTTTCGAAGAGAACAGGAAAGAGATGTCCTAGGAGAGGATTTATCCGAAGAAAAGTAGACTATTACAATAGTACCATAAATTACTTGAGTTCTAAATTGCAATACTAATATTATAAATATTATTAGATATAATTGATAAAAATAATTTGAAACTTTATCTTTCCTAACCTTATTAACTTGTCTCATCCATCATTTTTTTTTTTCTTCCATATAATTTTTTTCATCGAATTCTTTTTTTTTTTTTTTTTTTGTTAGGTTGGATGGATATTATCCAACCTAACAAAAAAAAAAAAAAAAGACACAATTTTTTTCTTGTGGATGTCTCATCCATATAATTTTTTTTTTCTTCCATCTAATTTTTTTTCTGAACATAACATTAGTGTGAAGAGGACTATCTTTTAATTTTTGAAAAATAAAAAACGAGGTCTATCTTTTGCCTGGGTGTGTTAAAAATGATTCTCAATCTAGTGTGAGCATGTTTGTTTTCGTTGATTTATTTATGAAGACGATCTCTTGAGAGAGAGTAACATGAAGAAACGGAGGTAGTGGTCGGTTTGTAGGGTCGAATAAAGGACCCACCAAAACAGGAAAAGAAGGGTTGAGGGTATGGGCCAGTTTCAGCTTTAGTAGATAGATCGTTATGCATTTTCATGGCACAGTGTAAATTGACTGGGATTGTGTATTTGGCACAGTTGATGATTTGGCTGGCATTTTGATTAGGCTGGTAAACGGATTCATATCGGTTTGGGTTGGATTCATTCAAATATGTTATACAGTGAAAAAGAAAAAAAAATAATTACATTAGTTATCAGATAAAAAATTAATTGTTGATTGGATAGTGTTATCCTTTATTATGTTTGATTGATTAATAAAAAAATAAAAATTTGAGTAATTAATTTTGAAAAAAAAAAATGAAACTGTTGTAATGATTTTACTACTATATACTTTCCATGTTTGTCGTGTTGTCTTTTTTAAAATTAAGGGTATATTTGATATTAATAAAGTTTTATTAAAAATGATACACTTCCTTTCATTTCTTCTTATTTTTGGAAGGAAACAAATCATCTCATCAAACTTTAAGGTATCCTTTCAAATCATTCCATTTCCTTTCTTTTGCGTCCAAAATTTTATATCAGATACAAAGTCAATTCCCTTCTTGTACTTTTATTTTTTCCTTCTCTCTTTTCCTTTCATACTCTTCCAACCAAATTGAGTGTCAGAGCATCTCTAACCGCTGTGTATATATATATATTTTTTTTGTGTAAATCTAATGTGTCATAATAGATTTATACAAAAATTTTAAATTATTTATTTTTAGTTCCAATAATTGTTTTATACCTTTTTGTAAAAATATATACCCTAATAATAACCAACCAATGTCATGTTTGAATTTCACGTAATTTTTACAAACCTACTTAATATAGGGCTGATTTGTTAATGGAATGAGAAAGAGAGAGGAAAAATAAAATATGTTGATGTGGCTATTCAAAAAGCCTCCAGCGGTTTGTTAAAAAACTATTTTGTGTAAAATATACACCGCCATATATGATTTATAATTTTTTTTCATCTCCGTGTTAAGAAACATTGCCACATTATCAATGTGTAAAAAGGATGTGTATTTTACACAACCTTCTTACACAATCACGTAAGTATATTTTCTCTCTTCGCCCCCTTTCCCACTCGCGGTTCTCGTTCTTCTCTCTCATTCCTTTAGGCCTCTTTGTTTCCCACTTTTAGAGCGCCATATAGAAGAATGTCCAACTGGAGGCAAAGTAAGAACTGTTAAACCATCTTTTATTTTTATTTTTTATTTTTGTAATAAAAATAGTTTGATTTACCACTTTCGTTTGATCTTATCTTCTGTAATCATCGCCGTAGATTCTAGGGTTTTTTTCGATTTTTTATCCTTTTACATTCTATTCTAATGAGATAAATATGTACTAACCAAAAATTAGATATATATTTTAATCACAATTTTATATAATTGTTGTTTGATACAGTTATACAAGTTTTTTTTTTTTTTTTTGGTGATTAGTTAATTCAATCACAATTGTTGTTGCATATTTTTAGTTTATGTAGTTTCTACATACTTTGAATCTTATTTTATTATTTATTGTTAAGTTAGAATTCTCGTGGCGGCAGGAAAGGTTTGCTATTGGCTGGATGGGAAAGTGAAATATAGGAATTATTATTTTTTTCCTAATTGAGGAAGATTAGGACATGATATTTATATTGGAAACGTAAATTTTGGATGAGAATTGGAATAGATTCTGCTAAGAATTTTTGCGGATCTATAGACGAGCGCGTTCCTCTCCATAAGGAGATAATTATGGTATATTTACTTTCTCAAATTCGTTTCCGGGTGAATGAGAAATTAGATCCAAAGTTAGATATTTGATAAGTCTAAATAAAAAAAAAATAAAAAAAAAATAAAAAATGTTGAAATCAATTGAAGTTTAAATAAGTCAAACATAGGTTTGGGCTTAATTATAAAGTCCGGTTATTTTTTTTACTAAATGAAATTTTGAATTGGGCCTGTGTTTGGACTTGGCTTATTTAAATGTGTGGTTGGTTTTTTGAATTTAAATTATAAACCACTTTTTAGTTTTTTCCAAAGGGTTGCACTATTTTCCGAACCATCATAACCCATGATTGCACCCACCCGAAAAGGTTCCTTGCTACCTATAAATACTCCCCTTTGGATCATTTGCAAATCACACCAAAATTCAGAGAATTCTTCTCTTCTTCTGAATTTTTTTCATCCTTCTTCTCTCTTTAGTCTGTGGGTTCAAATCCTAGTATTTGGGTTCGAGCCTTAGTCAGTCACTCCGAGTCCAAGTTCTAGTTAGAAAGTACTATACCGAATCGATTCGTCTATTTTTTTGGTTTGCAGTGCTACTACCGAAGGAAGACAAGTCGTTCTATCCTGAGAGATAGATGCCACTGAGTTCGTTAGCACCATAGCGAGGCGAATCTATTTTAAGAATATAGAATCAAATTTTAACCTCGACTTTTAATCAGGTTCATTTATTTTATAGTTCTTATTTTATTATATTAAATTACATATTATAAGAAATTATAAATTTATATATAATTCCCATTTCACAAGTTTTCTGCGGTAAAGTGTCATGCATCGTATACTTGATTCGGGGAATTATGTCTCATTTCAATCTTTGACAATAACTAAATGTATAAAAGATGATACAGTAATTAAAGCAAAGGAACATCTACGTAATAATATCACATGATGTCTCATTATCTAGTGGATACCATTAAACAAAAGCCACCAAACAATTGTTTCTGTGCTTCTAGGTCAAGATTTTGAACGAAGCAAAAATATTACATAATTCACCTTGGTACAACATCTCTTTGAATTCGTCTTGACCTTCTGCTATTTAAAAAGGTTCATAATTTATCATTAAATAATTGGTGATAATATATAATTACATGGTTAAAAGTTTGTTTAGTCTTTCTTGCACTCGTGAAGTTTCTATGCCAATTCTTGACCAAATAGCCTGCAAAAGTACACATCCAGTGTTATTAATCTTGTAAATGATGATTATGATAATAAATATATTGTGACATGTGGGACTTTTTTATGTGACCTTGAATTTGATAAGAGGTAGTATAGAACTATAGATGTATAAAAATTATATTTCGTTCAATTTTGTAAAATTTACTTTTTGAAAATTTAGTTATAAACAAATTTGTTTTCCGATAATGTCTTTTATAATTATTTAGTGTTTTTTTTTTATTTAAAAAAAAACTATTTTCTAAGTAACAAACCAAACAAACTCTTGATTTCTTCAAATTGGTTTCTTACTGATTGAATTCTTTTTAAAACTCTCAAGTTACTCCATTTTTTTTATTTAAAAAAAAATTATTTTCTGAATGACAAACCAAACAGACTCTTGATTTCTTCAAATTGGTTTCTTACTAATTGAATTCTTTCTAAAACAATCAAGTTACTCTAAAGTCGCATTTGGTATTTTAAAATAAATTATATATGTTTTGACACTTATGATTTTCAAAATGCATATATACAAATGAAGTGAGAGAAGTATACCTAGTAGCAAATAATTAAATAAATAAATAAAAAGGTGAAGTGAGAGAAGTTGATTAGGTTCATCAATAACGATTCAAAAGTTAATTAGCAGCTGCATATGATGCATTGATGCTTCTGTTTATACACACACACACACACACACACACACACACATATATATATATATATCTATATATAATATGTAAGTAAACCTGTGAATGGATTGTATATAAGATCTTGTCACCAATAGTAGAGTAGCTTGTACTCACAACTTCAACACTTTCTTCTTCAAGAACAGATGGAACTTGGTGCAACATGAAATTTTTGTCCAAACCAGCAATCAATTTCACCATCAAAGTTGAGCCCATTTCTTCAAGTGCAAGTACCGGCAACGTTATTGGCGAGCTTTCGATGTTATTTTTATTCATACTCTGATCACCCTTGAGTTGTTCCTTCCTTCTCTGCAGTTCTTCTATGCTTTCCTTCAATCCTTTTATATAGTTAGTCGCTTGCTCCAACAAAACAGGCAATGGCGCCAATCTTTTTTGTTCAAAAAACAAAGGCATTAATTCATTTTGTTAGTGTTTACATGTGTGTGTGTGTGTGTGTTTGTGTGTATATATATAGAGAGAGAGAAAGAGAGACCTTGGATGTTTGGGTAAAGATAAGAGAGGAGAGGATGGAAAAAAGATGATTCATATGCATTCTTCGCTTTTTCTCCATGGCATTTCTGCCTACTTTAAGTGAGCTGTTGCCTGGCAGCATTTTCTTTTGTACTCAATAATTAAAACTCAATGCTTGAATGACAGTTTTTATATATATATATATATATATATATATTTATATTTATGTAGGTATTAGGTACAGAGTAATGCTTTGATCCTGCCTTATCAGGACAAAAAATGTCCACCAAGCTGAGTTGATCCAATAAGAGTTTGCCACCTATTCTTAACATTAAAAATTATAAAATGTGGGTTATACCCATTTAACTAGGCTAGACCTATTTTGTTTCTCTCTTCTTATTTCTCTCTCCTCCCTATGTTTTCTTTCGCTCTCCTTGTTTCTCTCTCCTCCCATGGGAGGATGTTTCCTTTAACCAAAATCATAGCCACAGACCACCATCCAAACGGTGATGTGCACGTTAGCGCCGTGGTCGTCGATGGTCTTGAAGGAGTTGACGAAGAGCTCGTGCTTTAGCTTGATGAACATGTTGGTGGAGAAGACGATCCAGAGGGGCTCCGTCTGGATCACGGCATGCCGGAGGGTTCCTGGAGTTGGGTTCGCCGCATCGTTGTCGGAGGTGTGATGACCTTGGATTTTTCAACCCAGCGTGTCCTGTGATGACCCGAAGCGGATCTAGAATGCGGAAGTAAAGACAAAACAACGGTCTCCCAAGGCACAACACCTCTAAGACCCTAAGATAACCTTTCATGAGGTCACGAAACCTAAAGGAATAAAGTGCGGAAGCAAGAGAATGGAAAGATAACAATTAAGCCCCTAGGGCAAAATATTCATTTCTGAAAGTATGAATTCAGGTGCCACTGAGTACATCGCTGGAAAGACAACGAAAAACTAGTCAAGATGGACTCAAGAATCGCATGATTCGGAGTCCGGACGAAGGAGAAACGGTAAGACGAAAAAAAACGCACACTTAAAGCTAAAAGGGTAAACTGGTACTTTCAACTGAAATGGGTACTCTCGTGTACACCATTGGATAGATAATGAAAAATTAACCAAGATGGACTCAAGAATCACTTGATTCGGAGTCCGGATGGCAAAGATATCAAGTTCTGAAGTCGAAGGAAGGGAAACCCTATCCCGGTTCGAACCAAAAACTGACACTACATTACTAAAACTTGAATATCTTGAGCTAAAAGTGGAATCTGAAATTGAAATTAGTATCATTGGAAATCTTGTTTCGACGCGGTCAATTTAGACTCAAGAACGGACCAATTCGGAGTTGAAACGAAAGAGATACGACGATACGAAGTTGAAGGTACAGTGCTGAACCAAGACACACCCATACTCACACATGAACAGTGCTACGAGCACTCGTGAGAAGCTATGAGCGCTCGTGCAGCACATGCCCCAGGGCAAAAACCCACTGCCCCATTTACGAGCTCTCGTACCCCCTTAGGGCGCTCGTTCTGCTGTAGGCTGCACTTGAAATGCCAACTTGAAATGCAATTTTGAGGGCTTTTTGGGCCTTTTTGAAAAAAACACAAAGAAGAAACCCCCTCAAAATCATGCTTTCTAGCCAACCATGTAGATGGAAACAAAAAAAACTACTATGAAATGTCTAGAATGTCCCTAGATCAAATTTGGCTCAAAACGGCAAAATTACAACTTTGCACCATGCATGCGTTTGACCCCAAATGCAATTCTAAGCTGAAACGAATATGCACGCACATGTAAATGGTGATTTTGAGAGCGCGGGAATGGTTCGCGGCTCCCGGAAATGGCTGATACAAAATCCGACCTCCCGACGGCCAAAAAGGCGAAAATGAACTTGAAATGGAAATTTTCAAATCTAAAATTAACAAATGATTGGAAATTACCATTTGGCCCTTGGCCACACTTTCTACATGATTAATGAGACCCTAGGAAGGAATAAAAACGGAATTCCCACACCTGATGCACCCATGGTGAAACAATAACTTACGATTTTTCAATATTTCAATAATATCTCATGAAGTTAAAAGTTACAAAGAATACAATATACATGTCATTGGCCTCCGGCCTCATCTCATACATGTCAAATACAATACAAAACGTGTACTTATGTACACATTACATACATGGAATCAAATATACACATTTTGACATGAATGGCTATAAGTGGCATTTCAACCCAACCTTTACAAGAATTAAAACCTTCAAATCTACGATCATCCAAGCAATGATGAACATCACGAACCAAGTCTTCGTATCTGATCAAAACCCCCAGTAACTTCGGGGTAAGTAAACAAGTTTACTCGTATAGAATGAGCATGCATCGACTCGATTTCTTTTAGATTTTTAGACTAGCATGAAATGATTCAAAAGGGTTATGCCTCCTAACGTTTATGTCAAAATGAGATTCAGGGAGCATCCTAAGCTACCCTAGAGTACCCTAAGCTACCCTAGAGTACTAATTACAAGAATCATGATACATATACATGTATGAAACAAATCAAGATTAGGATAATACAAAGAACACGACAAGAAGGATGCTTGAATACGAGCTAACAAGGATTAAATTATCGATGCAATTAACATGATTGGGATATTTCAATTAACAAGACAAGAGAAATGCGTGAAATCAAGATCATGGCATAATATCTATGCTAGTAAACAAGACTGGAACATTCCAATTAGCAAGACAAGAGTAATACATGAAATCATGAATAATGCATAATATCTATGCAATTTAACATGATTGGAACATTCCAATTAACACGATAGGAGTAATACACGAAATCAAGAACAAGGCATAATATCTATGCAATTAAACAAGGATGGGACATTCCATTAAACACGAAAAGAGTTATACATAAGATTAAGAATAAGGCATAATATCTATGCAAGTAAACAAGATTGGAGTATTTCACATATACGAAAAGTTTAAATCTTCAAGGAATAGCAACATGAAATTTAAAGAGTGAAATCAACTAACGTGGAAAACTCGGATATCGCCCGGATTAAAACCGTACTCTTGAGATCACTTTAGGACTACTAACCCATGGGTAACTTTCCCCTAGTGCGCACTATAGTGTAGGAGGACATTTCCCCGCACTAGAACCAAGTCCTAGCCATGTCAATTCTTGATTGATATCCTAAGTCCCAAAATCAACAAGTTGTGCAAACCAAGATAGTATCAAAATACAAGAAATGCATTAACCACGTTTCATGCACAACCAAGATTTTGGAACACATAAGTCATGCCCTAAGTTCTCAACTATGATGGCATGTGAAATGTCAAGAATTCAAAGTGTGCATCAATATAGACTAGAACCAAGATATATAGCACAAGTATAAGATACATGATTCAATTACTTATTAAACAACACATGAGTAATTTAAATCATTCCAAGACAATCATACTAGTTCATTAACTACCTTAATGAGATTAAGATACAAGGGATACAAGTCCATGTAATACAAGTCAATTTCATGAGTTTAACAAGGATTCAAAATCAAGGCATGACTAACTCGATAGAAGCATAAAAAGGAATTTAATCTACTTAAGGATTAAATTATCAAATTTACAAGGCAAGTCCAAATATTCCATGAACAAGGCATGCCAAAGTTCACGTCAATGACAAGTTTAATATCAAGTCACAAGTCCATTTTATACAAGACACAACAATGTGGATTAAGCTCATAGAACTATTGAATGGATTTTAATTAATTCTTTTAATTAAAATCTCTAGATTTTGAAACTCACCAAAATGGTCTCAAGCTAATGTATGTTATACAACATGTTAAGAATTGATTTAAAAACATAATACATGCGAATTCCATGCAATGTATGGCCATGAGTATTAAACTTTAATACTAGAAAAAAATAATAATTGAAAGGTTTCAAAACCTAATCAAATATTCTAGATTTAATATATGTGAAACTATATGACATGCTTATGAAGAATATTAAGTCGGAATTCCAATTGAGTGAATAGTACACTCGGAATAAATTAATTAATCAAATTAATTAAATATTACTAGATTTCAAAACATTTCTGATTTCTCTCAAATTCATCTATGTTGAAGAACATGCTAGGGCCTAATATAATATGCTAACATATTGATTTCAAGCTAGTTAAGGCCATATGATTTAATATTTTATTCAAGATAAATATTATATAAAATCTTCGTTACTTGTCCAAATGATCTAGATTTAATATATATCAATCAACATATCAATGGGTAATATTCTACCATGCCACATGCTTAAACAAAGTAATGAGCAACCGGGAAAATCAAATCTCATACTAGAAAATAAATAATCAAAAGGTCTAGATTTAATATCCTAGCATGTAAATAAGTTGTATATACATCACAAGCATGCAATATAACAAGAAAGTAAATTATAATACCCCCTACATCAATTTGAGATGAAAACCTCAAAGGCCTACCGAAATAAAAGTGCTTCGAATTTGACGATACCGAAGGATTTTGTCGGGGACAACACGGTGAACAAGAATCCAAAGAAAGTCCCATGAAAATCACAACTTGACTTCAAATCCGAACTCAAGAAATAGTCAAAAATGGATTCTAATAAGGGGGAAAGATACGCGTCATCAAGACAATCATTAAACGTTAAAGCACTACTATGTTTCACTCGAGGGAAGTGGCCGGAAAAAGAAGAAGAAGCATGGCAACCCCTTGGCAGCCATGGTTGCCGGCCAAGAGAGAGGAGAGAAGGAAGAAAATCTGACTTTTTCTCTTCAAGTCCTCCATTTATTGAAAATCTTAAAAAGTGCCCAGAAAGGGCCCCGCTTGGTCCGGAAAAGTAGATTTTGAGCAAACGCTCTCAAACAGCAAAACTCCGTGAACAAAAAAGATTCAAAATGAGAAAACATGAACAACGGAAGAAACGACGTCAAAAACAGAGTCCTGAGCAGAGAGATATGCCCCAAACAAGTTCGGCAGCAACCGGGGTCAGAAACTCTGAAACTGGAGAAAAACGAGCAGAACGAAATTCTAAGAGTACACGACTCGACGAAATGTGAAAATGAATTCCGTACGAGGATCCAGGCTCCAGACGAGGTATTTTTGCAATAACT